CTCCAAGTACAAGCCCCATGTGTTACTGTACTGCTTGACCCACCTCTCCAAACACTCTGGACAACATCCACTGCAAAGTTTTGATGGCCTCGTTTCTGCTGCGCTGGCTGCTATTCTGGGACGATACTTGAGAAGAACTGACGTTCATCGTCCTGCGCAACGAAGATTGCCCTAAGAATTAGAAATGGCAAAATGGCTCTCAGGGAGCAAACAATTTGCCTGTGGCTGGCTGGAGATGGTGGGTCCAAGAGGCAGGCTGGAACTGCTGGGATCCTGCAAGATGGAAAGGAACGCACATTGCAGGGAAACTCTCTCCTCTCCTGCCTGGACAAGTTTCCACGGCATCCCCCTCCCAGCCTTTCGGCTTCCAGAGTTACCCATCCCTCCATTGCCGAAACACTCTGCTCAAGAGGGGTTGTCCCTTCACGCAGCGGGCCATCACATGAACATGAGGAAGAACTTTTTCACTCTGAGGGTGACGGAGCACTGGAACAGGCTGCCCAGGGAGGTTGTGGAGATATTCAAGACCTGCCTGGACGATGTCCTGTGCAGCCTGCTCTAGATGACCCTGCTTTGGCAGGGGGGGTGGACTAGATGAACCACACAGGGCCCCTCCAACCCCTAACATTCTGTGATTCTGTATGATTCTGTGATCACGTCTCAAAGCCATTCACCCATACCCCAAGCTAGACCCCTTCAATCCCAGAAAGCACTTCCACATTCCTGCAAAGCATGTGCAATCCAAGGTCTCTGCACATGTGTCCCATTTCTGTCCTGCCTGAATCCTTTGAGGGGAAGCTCGAAGTTAGGCCCCAGACAAATTGCCCATTAGGACCTCCCTTCACACCAGCACAGCACAGGGGCAAAAAGTACAGTTTGGTTTAGTAGACACGGGTGCAGGTAGCAGAAATAGCCATCTGGTGGCAATATGCTCATTGTAGTGCTGCATTTCTCCGCTTTGACATCTCCCGAGGCAACATTTCAAGTACGTTCACCATCTCCATCTGTTGTACAGGGTCCAAATGAGAGCAGACCAGGCCTGGTGGTCTGCCCGAGGAACATGGTTATGAACCAGCAGCCTGAACTACTCGAGGCCTGTTGTTTCAGCTGGCAAACGGCAACAGCAGGCAGCACGTGATTTAATGGCATATTAGTTGCAAGCTTCATTACACTAGGGGTTAGGCATTTTTCACCAGCTGAATCTTCCAACAGCGCTGCGGTCCTGCTAAAAAAGAAGTCAGCACACAGATCAAAAGTCTTTGTGACTAAACAGTAATTTCGAAGTATTTCAGATCATTTGAGATGCGCAATTAACTCACTGTCACTAACTCGTTACTGCAGACTCAGCTATTATTTCTACATTAAAGCAATAAAGTAATTTACAATTTGATGTATTGTTTCTAGAACCACTTATGACCTAGCCTGCTCTTCCTTAGCAATTGCTGTATTTTGAAGAATAGCCCCAAGCCATTTAAAAGGAATGTTTCAGGAAAACAACCATATAGAAAAATCAGCCATATCAGAACCCTACAATTAACTAAAAGTGACAGAAAAAAATGTACAGTGAACTTTCTGGTATTTATAATGCTTTTTCCTTGGTTTGGGCTTTGAAAGTAGGAGCCGTCAATATTATCTGGGGGAAAACACCATGGATCTAAGTTCGATCCATGCAAACACATGTGCAGCTCAGCAGGGACGGCAGGCGTACAGTGCTTCCGAGCAACACTGCCTGGTCTGGCAGAGTGTCTCAAGTATTGCTGATCACTGATACAGATTATAGCTGCTGCTCATTTACCTTTCCACGGGCTGTGTAGCGTCCTACTGCTTTCAGCTGGGTATTGCTTCTGATGAGACTTACTGCAAGCACTCCAGTTAATTGCTAATCAAAAGAAAAAAAGAATTTTGTGCAGTTTTAGCTGAGGAAAGTGGTATTCACCCTCATCACAGTGGTTTAAGCCACTATATGCCACTTCATACTCCCGAAAAGCTAGGAGCACAAAAGTGACATCTCAGCTTAGGAGAAGTCACTTGCTGATCTGCAACAAATTGCTCGTGAATGTCTGCCCATCTCCAATTTAGTGTGCCACGGGCCACTGTCATTTATGCACCGGTAAAGCTAGAGGTTTTAGCAGACGTCAGAACAGGAATACCTTTTTTATTTATATCCCCACAATTATTTGACTATTCAATGCAACTAGAGAGGCAGAAGAAAATCCTTTTTATTTTAGTCAATACCCAAGATGTCAGGTGTATTTTCATAACTTTAGACAGAAGACTGTAGACTGCTGCATCTTTATTTTTTAAGCACAAGACAGCTCCAAACTTGTATGGCTTAGTCCTCTAACAGGTATGTTCAACTTAATGCGGAATTTTGTATTTTGGGAAAAGGTGAATAGGCTTTTTTTGTTATTTACAGGACTGTTACCCAGTCATATAGTACAAAAAAAATGGCTGGAGGTTAATTTTCCTTCCCTTCCATTGCTCGAATGAAAAGAAAAAAGGCAGGCAAGAAGGAAGGCAGGAAAGAAAAAAAAAGGGAAAGAAAAAAAAGGGAAAGAAAAAAAAAGGAAAGAAAAAAAAAGGAAAGAAAAAAAAGGAAAGAAAAAAAAGGAAAGAAAAAAAAAGGGAAAGAAAATAAAAGGGAAAGAAAATAAAAGGGAAAGAAAAAAAAGGGAAAGAAAAAAAAGGGAAAGAAAAAAAAGGGAAAGAAAAAAGAGAAAGAAAAAAGGAAAGAGGGAAAGAAAGAAAGAAAGGATTTTGTCAAATACTGTGAACTAGGAGGAGGCAAAACCCCCCCTCCAGTCGGACTGTGGCT